GCCTATTTTGGGGTACATACACAATTAAGATTGTTATATCTTCTTGGTCACTTGCAATTGTAATTATAATTATGCAGTGTCTGTCTTCATCCCTGAAATATTCTTGTTCTGAAGTCTGACTTGAGTAATATTAATATAGCCACTCCTGCTTTCTTACAATTTTAATATTTATATATACCTATCATATCTATTTCTGATCTTTTAATCTACTTGTGTCTTTATATTTTAAATGAATTTTTTGAAGATAACATATAATTGAATCTTGCTTTTTTTACCCAGCCTGATAATCTATGCCATTTATATTTAATATAATTCTTATGATGTTAAGTTTAAATCTGCCATCTTGTCATTTCTTTTTGTCTTGTATATTCTGTTTTTTTTTTTTTCATTTTTCTTGCCACCTTTGGGCTGTTTTTTGGTATTCCATGTTTTCTCCAACATTGGCATATTAATCATACCTCTTTGGTTTTCTTCCATTTTGGTTTAGTTATTGCTCTAGGGCAAGGGTCAGTAAACCTTTCCTGTAAAGAAACAGATATCAAATATGTTAGGCTTTGGGAGCCATACTGTCTGTGTCACACCTCTGCTGTTGTAGCACAGAAGCAATTGTACATGTTACATAATGAGCTCGGATGTGTGCCAGTAAAACTTTATTACAAAAGCAGGCAGTGGGCCAGAATTGGCCCATGGGTTGGAGTTTGATGACCCCAGCTCTAAGTTTACAATATGCATGATTAATGTCACAGTCTATTTTCAAATAATCTTACACTAGTTAACATATAGTATTTTTAAAGTATTTTTCCATTTTTTCTTTTTGTGTAATTTTTGCACAAATTTTTTTTTTGTGAAATTATTCTTTCACTTTAGAGAGTACATTATCTTCTAAGTTAAAATGATTCAAAAATGCTTGTTGAAGTGTATTCACGTATTTAAATACATGTATTTAAATACACGTATTTACTGCTTCTGGCACTCTTCCTTCCTTTCTGTTGATCCAGATTTCCATCTGGCATTTATTTTTTATTTTGCAGGAAGCACTTCCTTAACATTTCTTATATTGTAGTCCTGCTACCAACAAATTTTCTCGGCTTTTCTTTGTCCAAAAATGTCTTTATTTCATCGTCATCTTTAAAGGATGTTTTCACTGGATATAGAATTCTGTGTTGACAGTCTTTTTTTTTAAGCGTCTTATGAATGTTTCGTTGTTTTCTGGCTTGCGTGGCTTCTGACAAGAAGTCTGCTAGTAGTCTTATCTTTGTCCTTTGTATATAATATGCACCACCCTCCCCAGCTGATTTTCTTTGTATTTATCCTGCTTACGGTTCATTGAGCTCCTTGGATTTGTGGATTTACAGTTAATCAGATTTGGGAAATTTTGGCCATTGTTTTCTTTAAGTATTTTTTCTGTTCCCCTCCCCTTTTTCCAGTACTCTAGTTTTACATATTTTAAGTCACTAATATCCTAATTACTAAAGCTTTGTACTTTTTGTTTTTTGGCTCTCAATCTTTTTTCTGTGCTTTCATTTGGATAGTTTCTGTTCCTGTCTTTAAGTTTACTGACCTTTTATCCTGGAGAGTCTAATCTGCCATTGATTTTGTGCAGTGGAGTTTTAAAATTTCGTTTGTTTTTCATGTCTAAAAGGTCCATTTGGTTTTTTTTTTTTTATTGGTATCTTTGGTTTCTCCTTCATTTTAGTAGTCTGTTGCTACATAACAAATTTCTCCAGAAGTTAACACCCTAAAACAGGCGTTTGTTATCTCATGAAGTTTTTGAAATTCAGGAACCCAGAGCAGTTTTTAGCTGGATGGTTTTGGCTCAGGCTCTCGTCAGAGGGTGCAGTTAGGGGCTTTTGTCCTGGGTTGCAAAGCTGAAGGATTGACAGGGGCCAGATGTTCTGCCCAAATTCATTTAGGTCGCCCTTGGCAGGAGACTTCACTTCCTCTCCATATGGACCTCTCTGTAGGTCTGCTTGAACATCCTCACAACATGGCAGCTGGCTTTCCCCAGAGTGAGTGCTGAATGAGTTAGAAAGAGACAGACAGAGCCAGCCTAAGATGGAATCTACAGCGTCTTTTATAATGTAATCTTGGAATTGATATACTATCACATCTGCCTTTTTTTTTTTGAGATAGTCTTGCACTGTCACTCAGGCTGGAGTGCAGCAGCACTGTCATAGCTCACCGCAGCCTTGAACTCTTGGGCTCAAGTGATCCTCCTGCGTAGCTGGGACTACAGGTGCACACCACCATGCCTGGCTCTGCCTTTTTCTATTGATCATGTAGGCCAACCTTGGTATGATGTGGGAGGAGACAGCACCAGGGTGTGACTGCCAGGAAGCAGGGTCGCTCAAGGCCATCCTGGGGGCTAGCAGCCATCCCCTTCATTGTGTTCATGTTTTCCTGTAAATTCTGCAGCTGTATTTATAATTGCTGTTGTAAAGTCCTTGTCTGCTGATTTCATCGTTTCTGGACTTAATTCTATTGGCCGAGTTTTCTCCTAGCTGTAGACCACATTTTCCTTTTTTTGCATGCTTAGTAATTTTTGATTGTGTGATGGGCATTGTTAATATTATGTTGTCGAGTATATGAAAGTGTGCAAATTTCCTCGTTTTTTCTTTGAAGAGTATTCGGCTTTTTCTGGCAAGCAGTTAAGTTATTTTGGGGTCAGCTTGATCCTTTCAAGAACCGTTTTTACACTCTCTTGGGGCTTGTATGGATTTGCTTTTATTCCAGGCTAGTTGAACGCTGCTACTAAGACATGACCCTTCTGAGGTTCGTAGCAGATGCCCTGGGTGCTCAGCAAGAACACCTGCTCTGGCTGGTCGGCACGTGCCTGTCCCCGGGCCTGTATGACCTTTGGAGTTGTTCCCTGGCAGCTCCCTGGTGTGCTTGGCTCAGCCTTGTGGAGTTGCATGCTGTGTGCGTAGAGCGTGTTACTCAGCAGCTCAGCGAGACCTTTCTCCAGGTTGCCAGAAGCCTTCTGTGCCCAGCTCTGCCCTCCACAGATCCTCCCTTCCTCTCAGCGGGACCACCATGCTGAGCTTGAGCTGCACCCCCCAGCGCCAAGCCTGGAAGAGACCACTGGGCAGAGCAAGGGGTGCTCAGAGGTTCACCTCATTTGTTTCTCTGTCCTCAGATCACGGTCCAGTGTCTGTGAACAGTTACTGCGTGTATTTTGTCCATTTTTCTAGTTGTTTACAACATGAAGGCAAAACTGGTCTCAGTTGCCCAGCATGACGTCCCAGATCCACATGTGAGGAGGAGCAGCAGCATCGGGGTTCCACCCCGAGCTCAGGGCAGGGGTCCGTATGCCAGGAACTTGGGTGGGCTTCGTAGACCCCTGTCATTCCCAAAATTATACAGGCAGCATGGCGTGTGCTTGTGCACACTTTCCTGGGTGGAGAGGCACATGGCCCCTCACGTGTTGAAGCGTTGTGACCCCTCGGGGCGTTGAGACTCAGTGGGAGGAGGACCTGGCAGGGGCCTGGAGATGGAACCACCTTCACATGCTGCCTCGCTAATTCCACAAATACTGTTGACGTCCTGCGCGTGTGGCCTTGGGCAGAGGGGTAAAGACCGGGTAGCCTCGGCAGAGGCTCTGGGGCCAAGGACGTCACCTTCTGGGGGTCGGAGCGAGACGTCCTTCCAGAGCCTGGGTTTTGAGAGGAAGTCACCTCGGCCTGGTTAGAATGAGTTGTCATCTTTTAGCTTTTTGGTTTGGTTTCTATTTGTGTTTATTTTCACTTTTTGCCATGGAAAGTTTTAAGCATATATATATAAAAATACGGAAAACAGCACTGAGAAGTCCCTGTGAGCCCGTCCCACCCCCTTCCCCCTTCCTGGATTATTTTGAAGCAAATCCAAGGCATCGTAATCAATTTAGCTCCTGTCATTCAAATATTTCAGCATGTGTCTCTGAAAGGCCGGTGACTCCGTCAAGCCCCAACCAGGGTCCTTTTATTGTGGCAGGGCCTGGCCTCGGTGGGTGAGAACAGTGGGGAAAGGGGCAGCGTCCGGCAGGGTGACCACCTGTGCGAAGGAGAAGAGGGACAGAGCACCTGGTGTTGGACCAGACAGGGGGGCTCCGGACCTTGGGCTGTAGCTGACCGCATGAGGCCCTTAGCCTCTAGAGGAGGAGCTGGTTTAACATGAAGCATGGTTGTGGAGACCTTGCTTCCTAGGTGGGCTGCCGTGCCCCTCCCGTCTTCCCACATACGCACGTTACAGCGATCTGTGGAGCCGAGGGGCTAGTTTCACCAAAATAAGACCTGGCCGTGTCCGCCGCTCTGCTGGTCTGGCTGGGGCTGCAGACACAGGGGTCCACAGCGAGGGACTGAGACCGCAGATGTGTACTCACACAGTTCAGGAGGCTGAAATCTGAGATCAAGCGGCACCGGAGTTGGCTCCTGGGGAGGACTCTCCTGGCTTATGGACGGCCACCGCTTGTATTCCTGTGTGGCCTTCCTCGTGCACTGGGAGAGCTCTGTGCCCTGCTGGATGAGCACCCACCCCCCACCCTTATGACCTTCCTCAGACTTGACTTCCTTCCTTAAAGGTCCTATTTCCAAATACAGTCACATGGGCATTAGGTTCGTATCTCAACTTGGGGGGACACGGTTCAGCCTATAACAGTTGCTCTGCACAGCCCTACTCGCTTACATCATAGATGTTCGCACGCGTCTGTGCACGTGAACTGCGTGTTATATGTTGCACATGCAGCGTTACTAAACAGGGTTCCCTTGCACCTCCCGGGGCTCCTGGAGTAGCGTCTTCTCTTCTGCTGGGAACCTTGCAGCCTTTCCTCTCCCCGCCCCTCCCAGCCCATGGGGGCCACCTGCTCTGTTCCACGCCTTCGTTTCTCCTCTGCTTGTGCACTGAAGGGTTCTGCCAGCAGGGGAGTTAGTGAGTAGCCAATGGAGGGTGTGCCCAGCCTTCCTGCTGCAGACCTGCCTCCAGGTCAACATGGACTTCCCTCCCTGCGCGCCAGAACTTCGTGTTGTTCTTAGTGGCATCTGGGGTCGAGGAGGGTGACTGTCAGCCAGTTGGGGGACATTTTCTTCTTGGTCCCTCGGCTCCTGCTTCCCTGTGAGCTGGGCAGCCTCAGCCCAGGTCCTGTCCAGTACTCAGCTGGCCTCGGCGCGCACAGCACAGGCTTGAGTGCAGCCGCGGGGGCAGGCAGAAGCAGGTTCCCTCAGAACAGCTGAGTCCAAAGGGTCAGAAGCCACAGCCCCTGTCGAGGGCTCTGGGGCAGCCAGGGGAGCTGCTCGTGAGTTGTCTCTGGGGCAGAAGGAAGAGACCTTCACCTGGGCTGGCACTGGGCCTGGGTCCCCAGTCTCATGGGGAGCTTATCCTGATTATACCTGCCCAGCCTGCCCTGCAGAGGGGAAGGAGGCCCTTGGCTCAGAGTATGCCTGCCCCAGAGCTCCCAGGCTCAGCTTGGGGGCCACTAACTGGGCACAGGTGCAGTGTGCCTGTGGCCAGGCCTGGGGTGTGGTCAATCTGCATGCTGCAGAGCCGGAGGCCTCTGTGCTCTCTCCCTGCCCTCCCCCTCCTCCCCACCTCCCTACCCCACCCTTCTCTCCTGGAGCCCTCCAGCCCCACCCCTCCCTGTGTACACTAAGTGCCCAGGCGGGAGGGCCAGTGGGTCCCGCTGAGCCACACAAGGCCCCAATCGAGCAGGTAGCAGGTGGTGTGCTGCGAGCCGCTCTTCCCTCCCAGGTCAATTCCTGAGCCCACCAGGCGATCGATGAAGAGCCACCTGCCTCTGGGTAATGCTGACGGGTGAGAGCCACTCAGCAGCACTTCTAATTTCTTTTTTTAAGAAAGCCGCACTCAGCCCCAAGCTGTGCGGAAAGCTATAGGATTATCAAGATCAAAAGGTCAGCCCTCTGCCTCCTCTCCCCTACCAGAGCCTCACCCTGGCCACGGTGGGTGCTCCCCTCGGTGTCATGGCCAGGCCGTCATGTTCCCCCCAGTGCTGCTGCAGCATCTCCTCCTGAGACGGCTCCCTGACCACCCCGGGCCACGGTCACCCCCTCAGTCCTCTGCATAGTGGCCCAGCCTGGCCATGCCATGACACGGTTGTCTGCCGGTGTGTGTCACCTCCCCAAAGCTGATGCACTGGTGGGGGACCCCAGGTCTCACCAGCTGTACACCGAGACAGCCTCGCTGCACTGACCTCTGGCGCCAGCCACTGTCGCTGGGCAGCCTGGTCTTCCTTTTCCATCCCCACTCAGGTGCAGATGGAGAGCCTGGAACGCTGTCCCAGGATGCCCGCTGCCCAGGTAGAAGCACAGACCCTAGCATGTGGTGCTCAGAGAAGCTGGCCTGGCCTCAGCCTGGGCCCGTGTGTGTTCCACACCTCCTCACCGGAACTGACCCTAGCGTGGGGTGCTCCAAGAGGCCCCCTGACCTCAGCCCGGGCCTGTGTGCGCTACGCTTCTTCCCTGGTGCCGACTCGATGGGTTCAGTGTCCATTCTCGCTGAGCCACGGGGAGCAGCTTCAGTCCCAGGAGTCTCTGAGCATCCCATCTGGAGGCAGGATAAGCCCTGCCTGCTCCCCAAACACACGTCTCCCCACTGGGCTTCAGGGCCAGCTTGGGCTTCAGTGGAGGTGTCCGTCAGGGGTGAGCTGAGGCCCTTGTCGAGGGCACATCCTGCACCCGGAGTGCCCACTCCCCCATGGTGGTCAGGGGGTACAGTGAGGGAGGCAGCGGTGGGTAGCTGGTGTGTTCCCTGCCAGGATCTGCCCCTACCCCTCCATCCACCCAAGAGCCCCCTGCCCAGTCTCCTCCGCCCAGCCCTAGAAAAGCCCCTTGGCCCCCCATCCCTAGAGAGTCCAGGTGCTTTGCCTGCACCCCTCAGCACTGTCCAGCCCTGGCTGTGCCGTGCTCTCACTAGCTCCCCACCAGGGCTCCCCACCTGCCCCCACCCCCAGCATCCTCCAGGACTCTGTCCAAATGCCACCTTCCTCAAGGCCCCCCCCCCCACCTCCTCCTCCCAGAACCCTGTCCCCGCTCCCACCCTCTTGCTGTAATTACAACCCCATTTAGGGCTGGTGCTCTCCAGCCCAATGAGGCCCCAGGACAGGACCCAGACTCACACCCCAGCCCGTGATGTCCAGAGGGGTGTCCCCAACCAGTGATGGGGGCTGTGCGCCAGGCTCCCTGCACACGTTTATGGTGGGGGTCAAGGCCCTCTCTTACGGAAAGGGACACCAAGGCAGGGGAGGCTGCATCAGAATTGGAACCAGGCCCCCCAGCCCCACGGGGCCTCCTCCCCGCTCCTCCACAGCTCGGCGTCCAGCCCTCCGGGGGTCTCCTCGCCGCTCCTCCACAGCTCCGCGTCCAGCCCCCGGGGGGCTCCTCCCCGCTCCTCCACAGCTCGGTGTCCAGCCCCCCGGGGGGCTCCTCTCCGCTCCTCCCTGCTCCTTCACAGCTCGGCGTCCAGCCCTTTCCTGGTGACTCTGCATCATTGCTGGGCCGGGCCCTTTCTTCTCTCGGTTTCTCATCTGGGGATAAAGTCCCCAAAGTGGGATTTTTGGATCAAAGATCATGGACATCTCTCTCTCTGTGACAGTTACTGGCTTTCTCTCCTGACGGGCTCCCCACCCTGGGTGTTTGAATTGACTGGAAGTGTTGACATTTTATTGACATCCATCGCAGTGTCCTCTCCAAACAGAATGATCCTTACTGTGGGGCCAGATCTCAGCACAAAGAGGGCTTGGAGCTGGCTTTCTCATTCCCGTGTTTGTTCGTTCAGGAAGCGTTTCTCCCCATCACCCGTGTCTGGCCCTGTGCTGGGGGCAGATGAGAGAGGCAGAGTCCAGTGCCCAGGATCCCGCAGCCAGCAGGACAGCCCTGGGTACCTGCCCATGTGAGTGTGAGCCAGAGGGAGGAGAGAGCAGCCTCTGCCCTGGGCTGCATCCTGGAGGCGATTTTCAGCCTGCATCCTGTTCTGGAAGGAAAGGCCTCTCGTTCAGCTGAGCCCAGTTCCGTGTCGCAGGCAACTGCGGGATGCTAGACATGGGCTGGACATTAGCAGAGGGAGCCGGCCTGCCCTGGGGCTCAGGATCTGGAAGCAGAGACAGACGGGGAAGCCACAGTGGAGAGGGTGAGGGCTCACCCAGGAGCAGGTGCTGTGGGAGGCCCGGTGTGCCTGGAGCAGGGGCCTCACTTCCTGGGGCTCAGAGCTGTCGCCCAGGCCGCTGGGCACAACCTGTCCTCTGGGAAACAGTGTGGCAGCCCCGGCATGGCCCCGATCCTCTCTAGAGTGTGGGAGTCCCAGGCCTGCAGCACCCCGTGGGGCTCCCAGTGTGCGTGTCTGACCCTGCAGGCAGCCCTGCGGGTTGGGTGTCAGCCTCCCTGTCAAGGGACAGGGGACAGAAGGAGCTCATATGGCCTGCAGGGTATGGAGGAGGCTCCCCGAGGCCCGGGACCTGGACTGCAGTTTTTGGGCCTGCATATGTCAGCGGGAGCTGCCGCCTGGGCGTCGTGCTGGAACACAGCAAAGCCTGGAGGTGCGAGGTCATCCTGCCTCTCCCTCCCTCCACTTTCTCCGTCCTGTGGGCTCTGAGCCGCCGTGGTTCTGCCCCCCTCTCTTCTCGTCTCCTCCTCCCCCAAGTGTTGGGACCCTAGACCCTGTCCCCTCCATGTCCTCTCCACCTCCCCTCCGGGGCTCCGGGTTGCTGGCCCTCTGGGGAAGCCTGTGCCACCATCACAGGTGCCGGAGTTCAGTGTGGCGGGCGAATGTTGGGTTCGGCGTGGCGGGCGTGTGTTGGGCTCGGCGTGGCGGGCACATGTTGGGCTCGGCATGGCGGGAGCCTTGTTGGGCTCGGCGTGGCGGGCACGTGTTGGGCTCGGCGTGGCGGGCGTCGTGTTGGGCTCGGCGTCACAGGAGCCGTGTTGGGCTCAGCGTGGCAGGCGTGTGTTGGGCACCACCTGGGCCAAGTGTGACACATCGTGAGCCACCGCCTGCATGGCCTTCCTGCCGGCAGTTCTGGGCAGCAGCTTGCATCTGGGGTCAGTCACTCTGCCTGTCTCAGTTCAAGGTCAGTCTTGTTCCACCATATCTGGGCCTCCCACACTTCACCTACCAATGTGGACTCCGGGTTGGCATGGCAGGGGAGGCATGGGCGAGGCACCCCTTGGCTTATGAAGTGCTCCAGCCAGCCACCTGTTGGACCCCGCTGCTTCCTGGGCTCACGACCTGCCTTGTCAGACGAGCCTGGCTCCTCCGTCAGCAGCTGGACCCAAACCTCCCTGCCCCACAGAGGCACCTGCAGGAGCCCGGTCTAGGTGTGGTGTGGCATCACCTCCTGCAGGGACAGCTGTGATGTGGTCCATGGAGCCCACGCAGGTGATCTCCACGAGGCTGCGGTCTCGGTCCCCTCAGCCCGTGCCAGTGCGACGGCTGATTGACGATCGTAGCTCATTACCAATGCGCGCTAATTGAATTACCCTTCGGCTGCTGGGAGATGGATAGCACAGCCAGGCTGGAAGACGGCTGTGTTCCGTCTTGTCACATTTTTCGGTGTTTTTTCCCAGGTCCGTGTGAAACTGAGTTTGGAGAGAAGGGGAGGCGGCGAAGGCACCGGGAAGAGGGGCCTGGAGAGTTGCCTGCTCCCAGCCGCACGCAGGCTGAGCTCTTTCAGGCCATCCCTGTGCCCAGCCCTGGGCTGGGGATTTAAGGCACCTGGGGAGTTTAGGAACCCGGACTTGGTTCTTGCCCTCGAGAGCCTGCGAGGTAGATTTTGGGAAGAGCTAAGAGCCTGTGCCGAGGTGGATGCTAGGAACTCGGGCCTCTGGGAGAGGGTGTGGGAGGGGGTCCCAGGCAAGGGGTGCTCTCCACATGGACTGACTGCTCCTTCCCTGGCGTTCCCCTGGGCCTCTGTGGCCCCCCACAGCAGCATGTGCACCTTCTCCTTGGGACCCAACCCTGCCCCACACCGGCAACCGTGGTGGGGGGCCCTGGTTCCTGGGCATGGATCATTGCTCGGATGTTGCTATCCCGGGCCTCACCATCCAGTGGCCTGGACCAGCTGTGTCCGTGCCACTCGGGCCCCACCCCAGCCTGCCGAGCCAGAGCCTGCCTTTCACAGGGCCTCCAGGGAGTCCTGCACACGCAAGGGTCTGGGCTGTGCTGGGCTAGCTTTCTGCCTGGCATGGTGAGGCAGCGCTTCCGTGCTCAGCTTCGTCCGTGTGGGGAAGAGTCCAGGGTCTCCGTGCAGAGGGTTGGTGTGCCGGGGCTTGCACCATGGGCCCCTGTGCTGGGGGATCACACTTCCAGCTCCTTAGCCGACAGGCTGGTCTTGTGGGGGTCTTGTGGGCTTTCCCCTGGCGGTCGTCACTGCGTCCTGTCGGC